TGTCGCGGCGGAGCTTTCCGGGTTCCGCTTTACCGCGCCCAGACTAGACGCAATAAGTCGAACCCAGAAGTTCGATTGCCAGCCGCCGAACTAGCGGGTAAGTGTAGCCAAGGCCTTAGAGTCTAACAAATTTATTTGGGCATAAGCTTTTGTGGGCTAAAACCCACTTCATCAGATGCATGGAGTGGAAAATACAGTGGGCAGGTATAAATACACATGAAAAGATAGGAGTTGCCTTACCAAGCGGTGGGGGGTGGTCAGTGCTAACGAGACAATTCAGTTAAGATGGAAGTTGGCTATTCTCAACAGTAGAATACCAAGGGAGGAAAAAATCATTTTTGTAGTGGTAATGAGGCCAATGTAATCAGAGTGGTCCATTTCAAACAGTTGACAAGAAGGTGTGAGTAACAGTAGGGGGAAATTAGTTTTTGTAGTGACCCATCCACTCCCAGTCTTTCTTCAGGCTTAATTTGATGGTGTCCAGTTTGCAAATTAATTCCAGTTCTGCATTTTCTCATTGAAGTCTGTTTTTGAAGTTTTTTTGTTGAAGAATTGAAACTTTTAAGTCTGATATTGAGTGTCCAGGGAGATTAAAGTGTTCTCTGACTGGTTTTTGAATGTTATAATTCTTGATGTCTCTAAATTGCCACAAGTACTCCTCGTTGTTATAACAGGACAGTTCACATGCTATAATCCCCCTAGTGTGGATGAAGTTATATTGGTATAAAAGTGCTTTATACCAGTATAGCTATTCCCATATAGGAAGGTGAATAGCTATATCAGTATAAGGTACCTTTACACCAGTGTAACTACATACACATTAAAAGCAACAAAGAGTCCTGTGGCACCTTATAGACTAACAGGCATATTGTAGCATAAGCTTTCGTGGGTGAATACCCACTTCGTCGGAAGCACCCTCGAAAGCTTATGCTCCAATATGTCTGTTAGTCTATAAGGTGCCACAGGACTCTTTGTCGCGTTTTACAGATTCAGACTAACACGGCTACCCCTCTGATACATTACATATACATTGGGGCTTGTACCACTTAAAAAAAAAATCACATCCCTAAAATAATGGTTCCTTCATAGTCCTTATAATCTATGAATACCTTTCTCTTTGATAAAGCTTTTCCACCATAGCCAGAATGAAATTTACAACAATTACCACCAGACAAAAATGAACAAACAAACAAAACCCACATCATTACCCCATCAGAATTTCCTATATCCAGGAAGGGAAAAGAGTCAAAGACTCCACAAAGTCCACTAGGACCTTTGCTATGCCATTCAATCTCTACAGTGATAAGTGCTAGTACAAAATCATAACAGAGAGAACTTTTTGGTAAGTGAAATTTTGTTTATTTATCCTCTTGTTTTTTCATACTTCTGTAACAGATATCTAATATGTGTAAGCTTGGGAGAAAGTGATAAGACAACTGTTCTGAACTAGTCTATAAATATTGCTAGCTATTTTATATTCCATAGCGAATTTACTGGAAGAAAAGATGTAACCTAAAATTCAGTAGGGTGCGTACAAAACCTTCAGATAAAAGCGGGCCTCAGGCTTAGAGAAATTTATTTAAGGTGTTTGTTGACAAGTATAAACAGACCGTAGTACAGACAGTTGGTGGTAACCCAAAGATCTCCTTTTTACATAAAATAAATGTGTTTAGTTTGGGAGACAAAGAATCAGCTTGTAGACCGTTTTCAAAAAGTCCTGTTCTGTGCATTGTGAAGTGATCAATGGGGACAGAAGCTAGTTACATTAATGTGTGGGCCTTGCAAAATTGTTTTCAGACTTACCCTACTAGGCTACATTTATGGACTAGATTAACAAGGCAGTGGAGGATAGGACTGATGTGGAAGCACTTTTCATGTCAATAAAATATTACTGAAATGACATACATTAACAGAGCTGTGCGGGAAAACTTGGCCCCTGAGCCTGTAAACATTTAAATACATGTGTAACTTTATTAGTGAAACATGTCCACTGAAGTTAAAGGGACTACTCACATGAGTAAAGTTATACAAGTATTTTAAATGTTTGCCGTATCATAGCCTTAAACAATATCTATACGCACTACAGCTAGCACTTTAACATTTTAAAATTAATTTAAATTAATTTTAGGAAGTGTTATTACCACAGAACTAGAAATTAAAATAAACAATTAATATTAGTGAGGTAATACAACTGATAGTGTGTTGGCCTTTGACCTGTATCCTAGCATCCTTAGCTAAATTTGTAGGAGACAGAGCTATGCAATTATTTTATATAAAGAAGCCCACAATATCTTTATCTCTAATTTATGTATTAGTTAAACTTTAGGCTTACTAAAACGGTTATGTTCTTAGAGTTTGTGCTAAGCATAATAAAAGATTAAATAAAATTCACTGTCCCTCCTCCTCCCCCCAATCCCAGCTGTGCGGTGTCCAATTCCGACCAAGAAGTTGCCATTTTGCTGCAATCTCCCAGAAGTGCCTGCACTGTGGTGTAGTTGTATGTTTACAGTTTGAAAAGTGCTTTGGTAAAATATTAAGACACTAAACCCTATTACTGTATATTATAGCGACAAAATAACAAGACAATCATGTAGACCAGGTACCAGTCACTGTTGGTCATTCCTTGTCTAACAAGTTGCAGGGATGCTCTCTATAGGTATTCCAAGGATGAGCACACCTCAAACTGCTCTTTATTAACCACCTCTGACAAACATCATGGAAAGTATGGCATCAACCCTTCCTTGGCCAAAGTAGCGTGATTGGATAGCAAGTGTGAAAAATCGGGATACTTTCTTTTTCGGGGGGTAGGGTAATAGGTTGCCTATATAAGACAAACCCCTTAACATTGGGATGTCTGGTCACCATAGGCCAAAGTGACACAATGTAGGATCTTCATACATCAGTACAGAAGTGAGAGTTGAGAGTGAAGGACAGTAAGGAAGGAAGAATGGAGAGATTTTATAGATGTAGAGATGGCATCACAGCCCCATCCAGAGAAATACGGACATTACATTACATTATGCTAGGATGACTTTTTAGAAAGGAGTTATTTTTTCTCCATGAGAAAGTATACCTACAAGCTAAAACAAGAAAATTCACACTATTCCCAGATTCCTTCTCGGCATCTCCCTTGTGCCTCGTATAGCTTGGGGAGGGGAGTTTTGCTGCATAAGCCCCACTTTAGTTATTTACTTAAGGATACCCTTAATGAGGACTTTTAAGTGCAAGGCTTTAATGAAGTACAAGAGGACATTAACAAAGGGTGCGTGTGTTTAGTTGTTATTGGCAATAAACCCCCATACGGAAACAAATATTTGGTAATTTCACTTGAATCATGTCAATCACCACCCGCTTCAGCAGCCTGTTAAGCTAAAAGTCAGGTACTCAGCACGAATCCCTTTCTCGCTTACTCATGATTTACCAGAGACCCCTTTCTTCTGAAAGGGGGAATCTCGCGGGGGGCAAAAGCCGCTTTGGAGGACAAGACACTAAGGAGCAGCACCTGTTTATGTCACACTGGGGGCGGAGAGGACGCTCCTGTGTCCTGGGGAAGGGGAGACAGGGCGGGGCTGCAGGTTTACAATGAAGTACGTGGGGGAGACTATAATCTACTCCGCCCAGTACCCCCACGCTGCCCCGGAGCGTGACACGCGTCCACGAGGGGATTGGGACAGAACAGCCACTTTACCAGGAGGGGAGATAGTGAAAGGGCTCTTCTCCCCCTCCCCGCCCCCAGGCCCTCAGGGAAGGGAGGCGCTAGCAAGAGAGCGGCCCCGCGGGGAAGGAGAGGGGACAGGGTGCTGACCTTTCCCGCAGCAAGTGCGGCCATCCCGCCACGTCCCCCTCCGAAGGCAGCGCCCACCTGCCCCGCACTCGACACCGGGGAACGGTAGCAGCAGCCGCGGCGCGCGCCCCGGGGGCCTTTAAATCCCCTCAGTAGCGGCAGGCGCGGGGACTACATCTCCCATGGTGCGCCGGTCGCCCTCTTTCCCCAGCGCTCTGACGCGCGCGGGAGGGGGCGGCCTGGCTCTTACCTCACAGAGGTGCCGCCCCCCTTTCCGCTCACTCAGTCCGCGCAGCGTATGGAGCCTGCGGCCCGGATCTCACCCAGGGCCTGTCTCGCCTTAACGGCCTATCCTGCACCCTGCCTGCTGCGGGAGGGCCTGCCGGAGCTGCGCAAGGGGGGGAGGTCCCCGCATCTCCTGCGCTAGTGTCAGGCCTCGGGCCCTGTATTAGGCAGACTCCTCCTGATACCGCTGCTGCAGCGGGGCCTCCGGGGTCCCCGCACCCGGAGAATATGTCGGACCAGACGGGCTTGGCGCTGCAGCAGGCCATGGACAGGTACGGGGGAGAGAGGGTGCGTGGGTGGTGGTGGTAAGATAGAGACCTACATGGATACAGGGAGAGAGGGGGGCGTGTGTGGGAGCGGGTGCGTCCATGCCTGGGGTGGTGTGGCGACATAGAGGGAGTGGGGGAGTGTGCGGGTGGTGGGGGTAACTACACAGATATAGAGGAATGTGGGGGAGCTCTTGTATGTCGCCGGTGTTTGATTGTTTCACCTGTGTGTGTACCAGGCGCTTCAGGGAGACTACATCTAGGTGAGCATAAGCTTTCGAGGACTACAGCCCACTTCTTCGGATGCATAAGAAGTGGGCTGTAGTCCACGAAAGCTTATGCTCTAATAAATCTGTTAGTCTCTAAGGTGCCACAAGTACTCCTGTTCTTTTTGCCGATACAGACTAACACGGCTGCTACTCTGAAATACATCTAGGTGATATCAGATAATGTACCAGGAGCTTTATGGAAAGTAAAGTTGTGGGATTACTTGTTTTTGTATAGTGTTTATTCTAATTCCATGAGGGTGGCATGAGAGAATTGTGGGAAAGACTATGGAAAGAAGTGGAGGAACGTTTGTCTTTAGTTAAGGCACCGTATTAGGATTCAAGATACTTCCTGGCTATGCCACAGACTTCCTTTCTCACCTCCTTTCTCACCTTGAATAAATCACTTACAAGCTATGTCTACACTACAGACATTACAGCGGCACAACTGCACCCCTGTAAGGTCTCCCATGTAGCTGCTCTATGTGGATGGGAGAGAGTTCTCCTGTTAGCATAATTAAATCACCCCCTAGGAGTGGTGGTAGCTATGTCTCCTGCCTACAAAGTGTTGTCCACACTGGTGCTTCTGTCAGTGAAACTTTTTTTTTTTAAATGGAGATATCCTATCTCCTAGAACTGGAAGGGACCTTGAAAGGTCATGGAGTCCAGCCCCCTGCCTTCACTAGCAGGACCAAGTACTAATTTTGCCCCAAATCCCTAAGTGGCCCCCTCAAGGATTGAACTCACAACCCTGGGTTTAGCAGGCCAATGCTCAAACCACTGAGCTATCCCGCTCCCCAGGGAGTATTTTTTTCACACCCCTGACTGACAAAAGTGCTAGTGTACACATGTATCCGTAGACCTCAGTACCTTATCTATAAAATATTGGTGATAGCACTTTCCTATCTTACAGGGATGTTGTAAGGAGACGTTAATCAGTACCTGCGAGTTGCTTAGGTACTAAGCTGATGGTGGGACGTGTGTCAAGAAAGACTTGGGAAGGGATGTAAAAGCAAAGGAGGATTACTTGTGAGGGTTATAGAGGACACTGTAGGCATAGAAGGCCTCATGGAAGAAAGTTTGGATATGCAGGTAGGAGAAGGCTGCAGAAGAGGAGTACATGACCTGCAAAAGAAAGCAAATGGGTTTGTGCATTTGTTGTTGCTTTATGATGTTAGCTGATGCATAAGAATGGCAACGCTGGGTCAGATCAATGGTCCATCCAGTCCAGCATCCTATCATCTGATGCTTCAGATGACAATAACAGAACAGGACACTTTTTTGAGTGATCCACCCCCTGTTATCCAATCCTCACAGGCAGAGGTTTAGGGACACTGAGAGCATGATGCTGTGTGTCTAACCATTCTGGCTAATAGCTAAGTTCTTGGTGGGTAAGTCCACCAATATCTAATTCTTTTTTTGAATCCAGTTGTACTTTTGGCCTTCACAACATCCCCTGGCAATAAGGTCCACAGATTTACTATAAGTTGTGTGAAGAAGTATTTCCTTATGTTTGTTTTAAACCTACTGCCTATTAATTTCATTGGTGACCCTAGTTCTTGTGTTATGTGATGGGGTAAATAACACTTCCTTAATTATTTTCTCCATGCCATCTATGGTGGAGAACCTGTCAGGCCTTCATTAGAAGGAAGCAAATAGGGCACAAACCCAATGTATTTCTCCTTTACAGGTCACCTTTAAGAAAAGTGGAATTAGTGAAATGTAGGCTGCCATCAGAAGAGTGATGGACACTAAATTATGTGAGGAAGGGGCAGAGCTGTGTGCAACATTTAAGGTGAGAATGAGGAGTTTTTGTAGGAGGAGGAGGAGGATGTAGTGGGAAAGAGAAAAGCAGATAAATTTGGTGTCTGCATTTTGGATAGGACGGAAGAGTGCAAAGTTAGTCAGGCCAGCCAGAGAGAAAAAGGTTATAATCTAGGCAGGGGATTGTCAAGGAGGTTGCAGTAATGTAGGCAAGAGATTACCAATGGTTTTGGAAGCAGGAATGGAAAGAAAGAGTTGGATTTTGGAGCTACTGAGAGGAAGCAGTGTCAAGGTGAACAACAACATGGATATGAGAAGTAAAGGATAGATGAGACAAGGAAGAAAACAAAGGTGTGGAGAGGATGGTAGAATTACTGTGACTGAGAAAGGAAGAACATTGTGGAAAAAAAAAGATCTGGGAGAACATTGCAAATCCAAAACAGAACAGGTTCTCAAACAATGGAATGCGTCCACCTTTACTTCAGTATCTTCTAAATTCTATTCTAGATTTCCCTCTTTGTAATGTTAGTATTTTTAAACTTGCTTCTGATAAAATTGGTGCTTTACTGTTGTACATGAGACCTAAAACACATTTTGGAGGCTCATTGCAGCCCCACATACAGATGTAATATCACATCACAACTGTGTAGCTTGTTCCAGTGAACAACTCTTTTAAGGTGGTAACAACCTGAGTTGCTTTACACTCAGCCTCATGATCTCCACCGTGGGCTAGTGTGTTAATGGGAGGTAATGGGTGGTAGCTGGTACAATTGAGGTCTTAGACTGGTAAATGGGGGGGGGGGGAACCAAACAAACACTGGGGTTGTGGTGTATTTTGCTGCTGCTTTATGAATTTGGAAGGCACAAATGTTTTTTCTAAGTAAAAACTATTTTGGCTTGTTTTTTTCAGGTTTTGTGTATCATGGAAGACTCTTTAGGGCCTTGCCTACACTAGAAAAATTACCCGTTGGCAAGTATCAGTAACAAACATGTTCAGCAATGTTTCAGAACCCAGGTCTGCATTTGCAGTTAAACCATGTTCAGCACCAGTTCAACTGCATCCATTGTCAGCAATAGGTAATTTTCCTAGAGTAGACCAGGCTTGTGGCAAATGTAAAACTAATTTAAGTTAAAGGTCACAAGAGACTTAAAGATGAACAGTTGAAGGGGAAGAGATTTTTAATCTGACCATGATATTGGTTAGTTCCTATGCCTTATGAACACTTTGGTGATCGAGGATGTCTTTGTTAAAGATTTTACATGCAACCTGTTTATTCGAGATGTGTGAGCTCACCATACACATCACTGACAATATCCTTCCCAAAGAACTCCTCCAGCAAAACTAAGGAATACTAGACTTGATGCTCCAGATATTTCTAAGGTAAAAAGCAAGCAGAAAGTCACCTTTTTTGCAACCAGGATGGGAGAAGAGGCTCTAAGTACACAGGCAGCATAAAAGATAGTACAGAGGAAAGTATGAGAAAATGACAGAGTGGTAAGAAGGAGTAAGCCTTGAAGAGTTTGAATTTAATTGAGAATGCAGCAGGATGCCTGAAAAGGGAATTTAGAGGGACTGACATGTATATAACATCAGTGCTATTTTTTTCTGATTGAAGAAAGGTTAAAAAAGCCACAGAGAAGGGTAGTGTTCCTACACATTGTACTTGCCAAGGTCATATAGATATGTGTCATTATGTTGTGTATGGTGGTCAACAAGAAGAGAAACCTTAATATTTGGCACCAAAAAATACGATAAGTGCATGGGTTTTCAGCATTGGGTTATGAACAAATGTCAATGGAGTTACAGCCACCCTTTCCTTCTACTTTGTCCTGTTGATAAATGGGAGGGGGTTCTTGGGTAGATACCCAGCTACAGTAGAACCTCAGAGTTACAAACACCTTTGGAATGGAGATTGTTAGTAGTTCTGAAATGTTCGTAACTTCTGAACAAAACGTTACGATTATTCTTTCAAAAGTTTACAACTGAACATTGATTTAATACAGCTTTGAAACTTTACTATGCAGAAGATAAATGCTGCTTTTAACCCTCTGAATTTAAATGAAACCCTATTTAAGGGACACCATCATAGGACTTAATCACATCAGCCACACCATCAGGGGCTCGATCACCTGCACAGCTACCAATGTGATATATTCCATCATGTGCCAGCAGTGCCCCTCTGCCATGTACATTGGCCAAACAGGACAGTCTCTACGCAAAAGAATAAATGGACACAAATCAGACGTCAAGAATTATAACATTCAAAAACCAGTTGGAGAACATTTCAACCTCCCTGGACACTCAATTACAGACCTAAAAGTCACAATTCTTCAACAAAAAAACTTCACAAAAAGATTCCAACGAGAAACTGCAGAACTGGAATTAATTTGCAAACTGGATACCATTAAATTAGGCTTGAATAAAGACTGGGAGTGGATGGGTCATTACACAAACTAAACACTATTTTCCCATGCTAATTTTTCCCCTACTGTTACTCACAACTTCTTGTCAACTGTTTGAAATGGGCCATTCTGATTATCACTATAAACGTTTTTTTTCCCCTCCTGCTGCTAAGAGCCCACCTTAATTGATTAGTCTCGCTAGAGTTGGTATGGCAACCCCCCTTTTTGCATGGTGTGTGTGTGTGTCTTCCTACTGTATTTTCCACTGCATGCATCTGATGAAGTGGATTTTAGCCCATGAAAGCTTATGCCCAAATAAATTTGTTAGTCTCTAAGGTGCCACAAGTACTCCTCGTTCTTTTTGCTGATGCAGACTAACACGGCTACCACTCTGAAACCCGTCACAGAAACAGTTTCCTTACCTTTCAGATCTTTTTTTTAAACTTTCCCTTTATTTCTTTAACAGTTTACATTTAACACAGTATTGTACTGTATTTGTGTTTTTGTTTTGTTTTTTCCTCCTCTCTGCTGCTGCCTGATTGCGTACTTATGGTTCCAAATGAGGTATGTGGT